AATCAGCCAGTTGTCAAATCACTTTTGACTTCAAGAGGAATTTCTCACCCTGTGCAGTACTTGCTTGTCAGGGCCAGGTAGCGCCTTCTGAGGCTGAGGCAATCCAATTGTAAACTGAAGGTTGCTCAGAATATTTTGATATTACGATTATGCAAAAAAGGAAGGTCGTAAAATAAGTTAGCGTGGAAAGTCTGATTTTTCAGAGCATTTCCATCTCCATCTGGAATATGTCAGTGGATAGAAGTTGCATAGCTTGTGTCACCAGTCCTCCTTCCCCTTCTATCAGTCGTATTTTGACAGTTTGCCTGGTCTAGTTTTGTCAATTTCTTCTCCCCCATTTTCCACATGAATGAAATTGTGCAAAAATTGTCATTTTTCTTATGACTGGTTACACTTATCATAGTCTCCCCCAGCCCCATCCATGCCATACCAAACAGCAAGTGTCATCTTTTCTTAGAATAGAGTAGTATGTCACAATGTATATACACCACATTTTTTTTTAATGGTGAGGTGTTTATTTTATAAAAGCTTATATGGCAACACCTGAGATAGGAATTGAACAGACATTTAATATACACTCACTGGCAAGATTAAATATTAAAAAAGAACTACAAAGAAAACTAGATGGACATTTAACCTTATTAGACATTGATCTGCTTTCCTTGAAGAAAAGCGTCAAGATAAAAAAGAGTAAACAACACTTACAACAGGGAAAACCACATTTACAGATTTGAAAAGTATGATACAGTTAATAAATAGGGAAAAGTTGCCTTCACATTACAATATGTTTGCAATTTGTGGGCTCGTGACAATATTTCTATTTTAGCCTCAGTCATTTGAAAACTCTTATTAAAATTCCTGCTAAAAGAACAGCAACAGCAACAGCAACAGCTAATGCTATTCCTCGATAGATAATCAGCTGTCTCACTGTCAAAACCTCTCCAGTGATGGGCAATCGACTCTGGTTGTTTCCTTCCACCTCCATCAGTGGATTACCCTGGTCAACTGGCCTGCTACTATCAGGTAAAATCTCTCTTTTTGTCACTTCTATTTCCTGACTGGGGAGGGCTATTGAGTTATACATGGTCTCTGCAGTTCCTTTGGGCCCAGCTCGAACCTGGGCCTGCTCTGCAGCTTGATTCCAGTTTATCTTGTAGATGAACACCAAGTAGAATAGACATTTTAAAAAGATACAGATCATAATTCCAATCCAAAAACCTTCTATGCCAAGGTTAGCTACAAACATCAGAGACAGTACAATGGGAAGACCAATCACATAATAACCAATGGCATTCAAGATGGCGCCCATCTTTTGGTCTCCGGTACCTCTCACAACTCCACTACCAAGGCCTGAGAGTGCATCAACCAGAAAAAATAAAGCATAAAATTTAATCACGTGGCTCACAAGGGAAATAATATCTTCGTCGCTGGTAAATACATAGCCAATCACATCCTTCAGAGCTAGTAGTAAAACACTGATCCCAAGTCCACACACACCAGCACACAGGTAGGCTGTGATGCAGGACTGCCGGGCCTGCTCAGCATTCCCTGCGCCCAGAGCGTGGCCCACACGGACACTGGCTGCCACACCAAGCCCCATAGGCACCGTGTAGAAAGAGGAGGCTAGTGTGTTAATGATACCTTGAGCTCCGAGCTCTGTCACATCAATCCGTCCTGCCAGAAACATTCCTACCTCAAAGGCCCAAGACACAATGCACACCATGAGCATACTGGGAACAGCCAGGCGGATGAAGGAGCCCCACTCCTGGAAACAGTCCCTGCTCCAACCTCCCCACGTGTCCAGGTAGAGTTTTCTCCACCAGATGTAGAGGAAAAGCAGCACACACAGCAAGTACTGGGAAATAGTGTTTGCCCAAGCAGATCCTGACACTTCAAAGTCCAGGACATACAGCAGCAGGTAGTTCATGCCCACGTTGATGACATTTACCGCCATCACAGTGAGAACCTGAGGCAGGACGATACCCTGAGTTCGTAGATATCTCTTCAGGAGCTGGAACAGGAACGCTGCGGGAAGGCCAGGAATAAAAATCATCACGTAATCTTGGGCTAGCCTGGAGACGTGGGGGTCTTGTTCTAGGAGCAGCAGGATGTTCTCAGTGTTGATGAAGACGGCCCAGCAAGGAAAGCAGCACAGGGTCAGGATGAGGATTCCTCTCTGGAGTGTGACCCCCACGCGTTTGGGGTTCCCGGCCCCAAAGGACTGAGACATCAGAGTATCACAAGCCAAGGCCAAGCCAGTTCCAACTGAAATCCCAGTAACATTCACAACCGACACTGCCAGCAGGACCGCACCCAGCTCCACCTTGCCCAGGTGTCCACAGAATATGGAACTGACGACGCCAATGAGCAAAGTCATCAACTCTGTGAGGAACACGGGGCCCGCTATTTTCAGCAGCTCGGTCACCTCCAGCCGCCAAACTGTGGGCAGCCTGCCGCGAAGTCTCCTCAGGCAGCCGCGCGCGCTGGGGGCGTCCTGGCTCCCGGGGCTGCCCAGCACCGCGACCGCGGCGCACCTGGCAGCCCCCG